AGTTCTGTTTAGGAGTCAACAAGGGTGTTCTGCTACTCAGGATGGGTTCGCAAGGGTGAGTTTATTTATAGTACTATAGATTTTTTGTTGAAAATACTTTTCACATGATGTGTCTAAATGAATTTGATAAGTCTAATAAAAAGAAAGGATCGATTTACCATATTTTGTTGCATTTACTTTTAGATGGCTACTAATAAACAAGATTTATTTCTCATTTTAGTGTTGTTTCACGAGTCGAATCGAAAGCAGATCCATTCTTTTTGGGTTATACTTCAAAGGAGTTACCTTTGCACACAGACTACACGTATGGAGCCAACATTCCAGGGGTAATACGAATTATTATGCCAAACATAAATTTTCAAATTGTCTTCATCAACAAATTTTGCTAAACGTTAAAGGCAATATAAGAAGAGTAAACCTGTGGTTAGTGAAATTTGCTAGAATATTTGTAAGATCGAAGAATGTAGATCAGAAAAAAAACTGATCATTTCTATCCGTTTCATTTTTAATGTTGATCTTTTATCAGTTCGCCTTTTATGAGCAATTCATTTTTTTTTTTCGTTTCAATGTTTAAGATTTTCCACAGTCTTTTAAAAAAAGGTGGGATACAGACATTATTTATAGCCATCAATATTTCAATTAAACACATCACTTCTGTTTTTATAGATTGTTTTTCTGCATGGAATAAAATGTGCGCCCTCGGGTGGTAAAAGCTGGTTGGTTGATGGGTTTAAATTGGCAAAAGATCTCAAGAAGAATGATCCAACTGCATTCAAGTTGTTATCTACTGGTATACTGAACTACGAAATGAATGGATTTGATATTGGGCCACAATTTGATCACAGGTGTAATACACAGGTTATAAGGTAAACATTTCAATTCAAAATAACGTTTGTAGTCTTAGAGAGTAAAACTGGTAAAACACTATACTGTAGCATAAGCAGAAGCTTCCATTCACACGGTCAAATTAGGCCTACTATTTGAACGAAAGTTTTATATTAATAGTAGGCCTATGTAATATTGATAATAATAATAATAATAATAATAATAATAATAATAATAATAATAATAATAATAATAATAATAATAATAATGATATTGTATTGTTATTAATTTTTATAATCATTTTATTATTAGGCCTAATATTATCATTACAATTAAATTAATAATCAAAATAATAATTATTGTATTGTTTTAATCTGAAGAGTCAATTGGCGCGGTGATGTTGACAAGATTGCATACAATGAATATGCACGGACAGAGTATTTGACTAACATCTCTGTTGATGACATGCCAGCGTATTACGAAGCATTGACTAAATTTATCTCCATGGCCTACTCCCAAGAATACCTTCTAGAAGCTATGATTGAGGAAGGCAAGTGTAGAATTATCAATTATTTATGAAACTTCATTGATTAAGTCTATTAATGCTACTTATTATTGCTACTGTTATTTTTAATTCTCTTTTACATTTTCACTTGCAGCTTCACTACTACAACCCCCGATAGAAACTTGAAACATAACAAACATATATTAAACTAATATAAGAAATCAAATTTATGTAAATTTATGTAAACAATGGAGTATCTTGTGTCCTATGCTCTGAACTTTCGACAGTGAAAGTATCGCACGCTTAAATGATGATTTTTTTTAATGAGATAATGGTTGCCAGAGGCGTAGTTAAGATATGACAGTAAAAGGCTGGATATGATGAGTTTGATACGTCGGGACGAGTATTTCAAATTTTTCGTGGCGGCGGGTGCGCTAATTAGCCAAAAATAAAATTTTATTTTTATTCGGAATCAGCATTATTGGCGGGCGGCGGGTTCGCTAAACAAGGTATAAAATATCTCGCCTAAGCGCTTAATCATGGTGGTGGTTGTAAATCTAGGATATAACATTCTAGGAAAATATAAAATTTAAAACTAATAAACATTCGAAATATTACCAACAAGTGGTAACTGTTTTTCATAAATTAGACCTACTTTCAATTAATTATTGTTTTTTCCCCCGCAATAGGTGACATTGTAGCGATCGACAACCTTCGTCTGCTTCACGGACGTGACAAATTTGAAATCTCAGATGGTAAAGGGCGTATTGTTGAAAGTATTTGTATAGATATGGATGACTTTAACTCACGTTTGCGTGTTCTGAGCCAGAGTTTCTAAAATATATAACACATATATGTATATAATACAGTGTGAAGAAGAAAATATTAGCTTGATTTGAATAGTATTTACTATGGATTACCACCTGCGACCTACAAGCTTTACCAGCTTAACCACAGCTCCACTTATATGTGAGCGTTTCAGTCAGTGACTCCAATAAGATTGACGCCCGGAAGACCTCATCTTTATTTTCTCAATAAGTTTATTTTATAAACAATTTTCCTATGCAGCAACTCTGATTTTCCTGAATGGCAATTTAGGTGGTTAATGTTGTATAACTTGATGATAATATGTATTATACTCAGGGTTGGAGCACCACGATGTTTAAACGATTGAGAAATTTAGTTTGCAAAATGTTTTAAACTTCTCAATATTTGGACACAATATTTAGGATTGTATCCTAATAATTAAGTTAAAAGAATCGGTATTTGTCTTGCAGATGTTGAAGACATGCAAAAGATTGGCATGTTTTCCATTTCATGGCGGCATATTGAATACTTTGCGATTAAAATTATTCTGTTAAAATATATGAAGCAAAGATCATCAGTATTTATTCCTAAGATAAAGTTAGAAGATTTACCAGTAATAACAAAATTACGTCAGAGTGAAAATAGAAAATGTTCACCCACTACAATTTAAAAAAAAAAAATGCAAAATTTCCTGAATTTTACATAGAGGGCGCTATATACAAAATTTTATCAGAGCCGAATTTTATGAATTGTCCATGAATTGTCTTACACACGGCGGTGGTTGGTCTGCTCGCATGCGCACGATCTTTGCTCGCATTTTACCAGACATCAACAAGATCGGCAGGTAAGGCTAGACCTAGATAGTCACGAATACCGTAGTCATACGGTGTGTAGTATAAAAATGCTGTTTTTTGGTTGTTTTTTTTAAGAAAATGTAATCAATGCCTACTACTAGCCTCCCAAGGCCTAGCTAGGCCTAGTGAGTCCCCAAATTATGCCTACTACTGTGCCTCTCCTAGCCTAGGTACCCTTAGGCCCTAGCCTACCCTGAGTTACGTAGTAGGCCTAGCTAGGAATTAGGCCCATATCGGCCGCTACCTATAGCGGCCGCCCTCCAGAACGGCCGCCAATGCGTGTGTATGTATGGAACGCCGATGACGCATTCACAATGCAGTACATTGTAGTTAAATGGTTTGGAATAGG